AATTTTGTTTATCATATTTCTCTTTTTTTTTGCTAAAATGTTTACTATAAATGTATCATTTTATAACGGAAAAACTGTACCTACACATCGTAATGAATATCTGCAATGAGTAAAACGCAGCCTGCAGCTGCTGAGTAATTCTCTTGGGTACTGAAATGTAGCAGTGAGCTGCATGCCCACGATCAAGTGTTGACCTTACTCGTATGTGTTTGTGCAGCAGTGCTCTACCTCAATTGTTTTTAAATATGAACCTCAGAAGAACTAATATAAAATTTAAAGCAACTGTGTATCCTGGATTAAATTAATAATGTTAATCGGGTTAAAAAAGAACTAATAAGTATTTCATGTTAAAATATGAAGTTTAAATCAATCTTACAGAGGAGAGTTTTGCAGTGATGTTTGTCATAGGGACTGTCATTCATGGGGTTTGCCCATTTTCTAAAACTTTATAAGTTCTTCTTAAGTATATTTTATGAACAAGATAAACTCTGGAAATATAATACAAACAACTATACAGGAAAAAGCACTTCTCTAATTTTTGTCAGTTTGTGTCCCACCACTTTCCCCAGCTCTGCCTTTCTTCTCCCAGGTTCTTATGACTGCTTTATCCTCATGGGCAGGCTGTCGGCCTTTATCCAAGTGGGACGACTTTTCCTAGGAGATATGTCTCATGCAATTTAAGAAAGAGCAGTAGTGCATGCCTGCTTTTTTAAAATGCCAAAAGCCACATTCAAGCATATCCCACGCTGCAATAGTGTTACTGCGTACGTAAGGATAATCAAATATTTTAGTACCTGCTGTATTTGTTTTGGGTTTTCAAGATATGTTTTTGTTGTTTTCTAGGGAGTGTAAATTTACAATGTTAATTCACTTCGGTCTAGTGAGTATATACTGTACACCAAATACACTAAATAGCATTTATCTTTTTCACAAAGCCCCTAAATTACAGTTCACTTGACTTTGGATATACAGTTGCTTCAAATGTTACATAATGTTACATAAGAAAGCACAAGAGCTTATGCGTGTTGTACAGAAGGAACTAGTTTGCTGTAGATAAGATTTTTTTTTCTGCGTGACTTGCTTATTATTTTTGCAGCCCTCCTGTCTGCTCTATTGCATTTGAATAATTATAAGATCAGTTTTCAAATCACATGCCTTGTTAGACTACTTAAAAAAACTATTAAAAATCTCCTTAAATTTACAATAGGCTTTATACTAAAACAAATCAGGGCTAACAAAATGCCTAGGGGCAGATTGTGAAGGCTGCAAGCTAAGCTCATTAGAACACTCCAAAGATGACAGTTTGGAAGTGCATGCTTTGCTTATGTCATCTGCATAAAGCTCATTTTATTTCATTCCTCTATATCTGACTTATGATCTGTTTCTCCCTGTTCTTTTTCTATGCACCTTTAAGCACACACATTAACCATCCTTGCTACCGCCTAGACCAGTTAAGTAAATAAAAGCATTGTTAATGCTGTATTAACTGATTGCTGCTTTTTTCTACTGCTTTTTTCTACTGCTTACATTTTAAGCTAAAGACCCGTTTGTGATTAAAGTGGTGGTGCAGTAGTTCACTTCATCTTGTGCATACCTGTAGTACGATGTGACAAGTGAAACTTCACCAGCTTCTCATTTCCATTTGCTGTTTGTGTATTGTGTAATAGTGCAAGGGAGTTTTAAAGCTTCAACTGCAAGAAGTGTGTCAGTGGGATGTGATCTGGTTTCATTCAGAACTGAACTCTTTTTCAAGGAATCAAGATTTTCAAACAAAAAGATTCTCATACTGTGTTATTTCTTATATGAACCACGCCCATATCCCAATGTTTTGTGAAAGTCATGGGTCAATGCTAGTTATAAGTGAATTCCTGTATCCAGGACACAGTACATGTTCAGGACCTTGTACTATATTCCTACTGTAAGTTATAATGACAGTTTGGCAACAATTGTAAGTACTCTACACAGATTAGGCTATACTGTATATGAGACCCACTGTATGTGTAAAACGCAGTATAGGGAATCTTCTTGGGATATGAAGAGGCTGAATTAAATGTTTAATAAGTAGTAAAGATATATTTACAGATAGATTTAGCAGTACATTAGGACAGTCATCATTTTCACAGCATTCAGTAGAGGCTACTTTCTTTTAGAAATTTAGAATTGCCAGTTTTATATCACCCACCCAATATGGAACTGGTACTTCTACCTTTACAGTTTGTCTCACAGAGTGGATGCCTGTGTCCACATGGGGAAGAATGAGCAAGTGTTGACAGGGCCTTCTGAACTGGATTGAGCCATCCATCGTTTGACATGTTATAAGTTCTGAAACACTTACCGAGTTTCAGCATCAACTGGAGGATAGGTGTGCCTCTTTGACATCGCTGCAATGCAGCTACTGCCTGAGATGTTGCAGGGGCTTCAGTGAGAGCAAGAAAAGAGAGCCCTGCCTACCCACACCAAGATCACTGAGTCAGTTGTGTGGGGACTCATCTAGTGACATGACACAGGCACACTTTTTATTGCAGTTGGAGTGAGTGCCTTTGCTTGTGAAGCCTCACACACCTTTCAGGTTAATTTTATGCAGAAAAAAAGACATTTAAAATAAGTTACAGAAGTGATTTTCCATCCTTATATTCTAATAATTGTGCTCATTTTAAATTAATGGCAAATCCTAAGTTTACAGTGTTGATAAGAATATTGCCATTTGTAATTCTCACGACAGGCTAGTTAAAACAATCTTGCTAACCAGTGTTTTAGTAATAAACTCCAGGGCTAAAAGTCCATCAGGGCTATCCCTAGAGCAGTTGACGTACTAACATATTGACTACTGCCAACATAATCTAAAAATTAGAAAATGTTACAGGCATTTGCTGTTTTTAAATGTTTTTTCTTAAACAAAACCTTGTGAGCCACCTGATTTTGAAAAGTATGAAAATCATTTTTGTTTAAAATCTTGTTCACTTACAACTATTTGCTTGAGTAGACTGGATTCATGGTCTGAGGTTTTTCTTAAGTGTAACGAACACTCAAATGCAGCTCATATTCCAATGATTTGAAAACCATGAATGCATTAAGATCTGAAAATAAAATCTTCAGAAGTGCTTTGCCCCAAACTGCAAACTGCAAAGCTATTCTTTAAAATGCTTGCCTTCCTATCATTGCAGCCAGCATGGCGAGCTTGGCTAGTAAGATTTTAAGGCTAAATTTCCATAGGATGATACCTTTCTTGGGGAAAATAAAATGTGAACAGAGTATTTAAGCTGATCATCTGTTCAGTGTATAAAAAGCAAGTAAAGTGTTTACAACTCATTATTTGTGAGGTGAATTATTTTTTTATCTGTCTTCTCCTTTCTTAAGCTTAGAAATATTGCTGGGAGGGTAGAATCTAAACCCTGCTTGTTCTAAGAAGAAAAAATTGATAATTAAATGCGAGTCAGAATAGGGCATGGTCACACTTAGTCATGACAGTGTTTTATGGAAAGAGGTATGTTATTGGGAGTTGTGCTTGTTGTAAGATAGTTTAGTTTATTTTAATCAGAATTCAAACCTAATGTCAGAAAATATGTTTAACTTCCTTGTTCATTATTTATTTGTGGGTGGGGGCATGCTGTATCAGATTGTACTGAATAGGCATCTGTTATTTGTGTGAGTGTAGTTGGATTGTTTTATTTGTTGAGAACAAAGACTAAAAATCGTACATTTCCCCTTCAGCAAACTATAGAAGCAGAGAAGCTTTGTAGTTTCAGAAATGCTTTTGGTTTTCTTTTTGCTTGGGATAACTACTGCTGTCTTAAAAAGCACAAAATCTGTAATGTTTTTGGCCATTCTAATATTTCTTTTTGTTTTTTCCATATTGCAAGTGCTACAATATATTGTCATATCTTGTCTTCAGTCTTAGAGTGTATCTGCTTTAGCCTATTTTTTCATTAGATGTATTTTTTTAGAAATAGGACAATTATTTACATAAGCATTTATTGTAATGATTAAAGGCTGTGTAAGGAGCATTTTTGGATCTTGTGAACAGTCATACATTAATTGAATTATCCTGAAATTATTCTACAGGTACTTTGTCTTCTGAGAAAAGAAAGCTACAGGTTACAGTTATAGAATAAGCATACTATAATCCTAGAACCTTCTCCAGAATGCTGTAATATCATGCTATTGATGTTAAATCACAGGTAACTCAGTGGAGGTCAAGGCAGTATATGAGGGTTTTCTGTAAGTAATAAATGACACTGCTAGTGTAATTGCTTTATATTTAAGTCATTGTTATCCTCTATTTAAAAGGTGATAGCATCCTTTATGGGAATGAAAACCCACTTATGCAAGATCATCATAATCTGTATTCCACCTGGCATTGTCCACTGTCCTTTTGTGTGTTCTAAAACTGAAGACAAATTGGTTAAAAAACAAATAAAAAAAACGGATGTTTGGATTAATTGGATGACTTTAACCAGGTAATGCATGTATATTTCAAACTCAAGGTTTGCAGGAGGGGAAAAGCCTAGATTTATCCACTGAGATTCTTAATTCCTTGCAACTGACTGTAGCTGTCTAATTCCAGAGCGACCGAAGAGGCCCTTGTATCGGATATGGATGAAAACAACCCAGGCACCGACTGGGAGCGTGTGGCTCGACTCTGTGACTTCAACCCCAAGTCCAGCAAGCAGTCCAAAGATGTCTCTCGCATGCGGTCTGTTCTCATCTCCCTAAAGCAATCACCACTGGTGCACTGATGTCGCTAAGCACAACCAACACTAGCACCACCACTACAACTGTTAGTATAGCAATAGTTTAAGTTCTGAACTCAGAGAAACTGGCTACAGTAAATTAATGAATCCCCTTTCAATTATGTATAAAAAATCATTTTATCTTATATTTTATCATTCTTTTTTGAGGACCAAACTTAATTGTGTGCTCTGTCATTAGAGTTGATTTGTGTTTTGTGATTTTAGAATCTATGCATTTCCCTTTGAATTTTCCCATGAATAAAGTAAATGTATTGAAATGAGTGTGTTCTTGTGTGCTTGTGCACATATAATCAGGACTTGTGATGTAACTCCATTGTTGCTTTGTCTTGTTTTTGATTTAACTATGAACTAGTATTAAAAGTGTGTGGAACCCTGCTTGGTGTGATTATATTGTAAATCTTTAATGCATTTGAATTCCTAGATTTGCTTAAATAGAACAAGCACAGAACAAGTAAAAAAGGTTTTTATTGCAAATGGTTTAAATGTTGGTATGGATGATTGCTTCACAACAGTGCAATCAAGGAATCACATTCCTTTACCGTGTTACAGCCTGGATTAAAATAACTTTAACCCAGCCTCTGATTGCAAATTCCAAATGTATCCCTGGCTGGTGGATTTCTATATGCAACAGCACAATGGAAAGCTACTCTTACTTAATTCTGGAGTGAGTGAAAGGCAGGTACTGTACATCTGTCTTTTTTTTTTAAATTCGACTACTGTTCTTTAAATATTGTGGTAGCAGTGCTATCTTCTGGTGGGGAAATAATGCAGAAATATTTTTTTTTGCTCTCCTCATTAAAGTGGGGGTGGTTTATTGCACAGGTTGTGTTCAGTTTCACAGGGCTGTCAAGGACTATTAACCTTCCAGGAAATGGTACTTGTACTTTACTGCCTTGAGTGCTTCTCAAAATGATAACAGCTGGTCCCGCGAGTCTGATAGTGAGCCTGTGAATTATTTGCAATAGAACATTAGCATACAAGATGGAGACTATGGAATTGTACTGACTGCAAAAAAACAAATGAATAATGCCTTTGACCTCAAAGTGTTTCTTCTAATTAAGTGATGCAAAAAGTAGTGTGATATTATTCAGCATAACATAGGTGATATACAATTCATCATTGTGCATTGTCCACATTCTGATATTTAGGTTAGTGAATGCTGTAATCATATTAAATAATCAGTGTATTGATTAGTTCTCCTTTAGCGTGATAATTAACCTTAAGTCAATTTCATTTTTTAAAATTCAGAAAAGTAGTAAACCCCCAACTTGTATCAGTAATGTAATTTCTTATAGCTCCATAAAATAAGTTTAATATCCTTCCCAGTAATTCCAAAAAGTAAAAAATACTACATCCTAATGCATGTGATTTTATTGTTGTGTGCATCTCCCTATATCAGAAAAAGAGAGTTTGACTGCAAAAGCAGGTAGAAATGTATAAAAACAGATATTAAAAATCTATCTATAAGACTAACAGGGTTGGAAACCCCTGTTGAAAAAGCAGTTTAGAGTTAAATTTACACAACCAATTTGAACAACAAATACAAAGACTGTCAAAGAGCATAGTTTGCATGTCTATTTTATTTATAGAAATCAACATTTAAGAACAGTCTAAAACAGTTTCCAATTACATGGGCTGTCAAACTATAAAGGAATGTTTTGTGGAAAAAATGTTTTTACTTTTCTTCATATAACTTAGATCCTGACATGGTATTAATAATTAAAAATAAATTAAAATCAATTGACAGACAAAAGTGATTTAAGTACAAACTAAACAGAACATCACTAATGGCATGTATTTAGTAACCCAGCACAACTTTGAAGATCACTTTTTTTTTAAATAAGGTCCCCATCTAACTCAGCACAGCCTTGTGTCCAAATTCTACAGACAAAGGATTAGTGTATTACTTTCAATTTTAGTTGGACTGTGAACGGCCAACCATTAACAAGTGTCTATAGTTGTGCAGCGCTTGACATGATTCAGTTTTTGACTTCAGTTAGTGTTATAGCCAAAACAATATTCATGCTGTTTAATGTTTCAGTTACAGCTTGTCAGCTATACTTAGTTAAGAATATTTTTTGTTTGTGTAATGTCATTTTTAAAGCTAATTAAAAGAATGCTTTAAGATTTTGCTTTTCCAAGCTCACTTTTGTCTCTGATATTGCATTGGCTTTGGTTTATAATCTTTCATTCCATTCTGGTTTTAAAGTTACTTATTCTCTGAGTTCATATATTGTTCATATGCCAATTCTGTTTGTATTGGTTAGTTCAGTCTTTTCTTCCATGGAAGGATACAGACACAAGCAATACAGTTTCTTGACTATGTTCTAGGGTCCTCAGCCTATCTGTTTATCACTCTCTATTGCTTGTTACTGTAAAGACCTGTGGTAACCTGGCATCTGTTCCTGCAACATAAGGTGTAAGGCAGGACTACACCCTGGCTGGGATACCAGTCCATTCAGGGTACATACTCTACAAGCAAGCACCCAGGGACAATACAAAGACTTCAGTGAACTTAACCAGCATGTTTGGGAGGTAGAGGAAACTGGAGCCCCTGGGGAAAACTGATATGAAGTTTGGATGAACACACAGGCACCACAGTAAATGCCCCAGCACCAAATCATGGTCCAAGAACTGTGAGGAAGCAGTGCTAAATGCCATAGTACTGTGTCACCCCGTCCCCTAACCAGCCTTCAATAATTTCATACATGTACAGTGCCTTGCACAAAAAAGTCCATATTTCATTACTATTGAACTTGCAATTGTGAACTTTCAAAGAAGACTTCATATTCAGAATCTACACATTCTGCTCTAGTCTAGGTCTGGGAGAGACCTTTACAAAACTCGTGGCAGCAGTAATTGCTGTAACTGAGTGTTGTGTTTAATACATCACAAAGATCATAAAGGTGCTGTACCAATGTTAGAAAGAGATCAAGAAAAAATACGGTGATGGTTTTGATGATGACCTGCTCCACCTGCCCTGGGGATAAAAGCAAAACTTGCAGGAAGTGATGAGTCCAATAGGAAGGCCAAAGATTTGTAAGATTTGTACACACCACAAACATCAAATGTAAAACAACTATTGAATTTAAGAGTCGTACTAAAAGTTTCTCCTCTTATTCATGTTAGCACAGAACTGTAATAAAAAAGACTGTCACTTAAATTATAAATAGACCAAATGTTTTTTTTTTACATAGATTAAATTATAATATTGCCAACAAACATAACCAAAACGTTCCGGGTACCAAGCAAGTAATTCATTTTTTAAGGCGAAATGGTTATCCAATAAAAAACAACAACAACTTTAAATACACATCATTGTACACACAATGGTCCAGGTTTTTTTTAAATACACAGTTATACATTACACTTTTTGAATTATTTATGAAAATCCAAATGTATCAGTCTCAAGAACTACAATTACACAATTTAAAACTAAGTCTACATAGCCTCAGTGAGCAATCAGAAGTTTCACAACAGAAATCACTCAATGACATTGCAAGCCAGATCTGTACTGATGAGACTGGCGATATACTTCTGCTAAAAAGTAAATTTTCTGACTTGCATATTGTGACTTTCAGTTCTATGTTTCAAATTTCAAAAGTATTCAGTGCAGTATCAACTCCTGCATCCTACTGGGTACCCAGAAGCTTGTAGCAATGACAACGCGAGATTGAAAAGCTACTCCAACAGATGCTAACTTTATATTAAATCTCTAGGAGCTCACACAGCATCAAAATATGAAAGACTCTGAAAGGAGGGTATGCATGGGGATTGTTTCCAGTGTTCCACATTCTCATCCTCATGTTGATTGAAGTACAACATGATATCTTCTGTTTGTAGCCACCATTGCACATGAAAATCATAAATATTCAAGGCTCTACGTAATTAAAGATGGTCTCCACTATCAAATAAATCCACTATGAAATGTTTGGGCTACTGACTGCCATGTGCTGTAGCTCTTTTAACATCATTGACACATTCATCCCTGTGCAGTCTCAGCTACCACACATGCACTCTGGTCCATCCAGGGCCACCATGATGTGACCCAGCTCCTCTGTACAGAAGGATGAAAGTCTCAGGAAAGTGGGCATGTTAGAGCATTCTTTCAACAGACCCTCATTATCATCCCCATGTGGTGCAAGAGTTAAGAACATAAAACAACTGTTGATTTCAAACTGGGTATAAAATATAGCTGAAGATTGATTTTTTATAATGTGAACTGCAACATTTTTTAAAAGTGACATGGACTGCAAAGTACTTGGAAACTGACAGATGTTACCATTGGATAGCCATTTAACCTTCAAGCAAGCTGCCCTTAAAATATTTAAACACTCTACAACATAGACGACAGATATTTTTCTTACGTTAGCGTTTTTAAATTACCTTAGCTACCCTTCATTTCTATATATAACTTTTCCTGGAATGTTAAAAAAACTCAGTTTTTAATCAACTAAAACAATGAGAGTAATTTCCTATGAACCATTCATAAGTTTCTTCCCAAAATCATACTTAACACAAATCTTAAATGTTCATCATGGTTTCTCTGGACACACAGAATTAAATGGAATTCTGTCATCGTTTTGCTATGATCTTTGTTATCCAGGATCTAAATTTTAGTTATCTTTGTTATCTAAATTAAGTGACTCAGTTTGAATTCCCTGCTGTGGCTTGATGCAAACTGCTAAGTCAACCTTACTCTAAAGTTATCTTTACCATTTATTTATTTATTTGGCTGCCACTTTTATGCAAGTGACTTTAAGTGACCTTCACTTAAAAGTATACCCATTTGTACAGCTGGGCATTTTACTGGAGCAATCAGAGTGAAGTACCTTGATCAAGAGTACAATGGCACTGTGCTACCTAGGATATGAACCCACAACCTTCCTGTTGTGAGCTCTAGCTGCTAATTCACAATGCAGCCTCAAACTTGCTAAATGTATATGCTTAAGTTTCTACATGATTCATTCAGAATTTAACCCCAGTCTTAACTGACTTTTATCAGAATATTAAAATCAGTCATGTTCCCCATTACATTAAAGATGTTCAGGACAATGTCAAACAATGGCATTCCTTTAAAAAGAAGAATCTGGCATAAGTTAAGAATTTTGATCACTATACCCTTACTGTACCTGTAATAATAATACAAATAATACCCCCATTAGTTTAAATAATAGTCATCATTTGGGACAATATACATTTTAATAAATAAACATATATGTTTAGATTTTAAGTTGTACTTTGTGTCTAGGGCCAGTAGAAATTTTGATCGTGCTTAACAGCCTTAATATGTCCTCAAAGCAAATGAAGAATCCATTATAACAAGATAATGGAAATAAAAAGTCAGCTCTACATCAGGCATTGCAGATTAAAAAGAAAATCATTGGAAAGCCAAATTAAGCTGCTACACAAAGCATGACATTCTCTAATTTGCAACCATTCAGTACAGAAACAAAAACTCATAAAATTGCTTTCAAGTATTGATGGATTACTGTAGGCAACAAAGTCATTAAAAATTAAAACCATCAGCCAATGTATAGTATGACGTATGTATGTATATAGAGTTAGGAAGTCAATTTGAAATAAGTAAGCAATGATACATATCTTAAATGAAAAACTTCAGATTAATTGGGTGAGAATAGGCATTTGCATTACTTAGGAAGAAGTAAAGGTTTAATTCCATGCTGAAATGAGAAGGAAGGAAACATTTCAGCTGTGGAACCTTCTTTGGGTGTGTGATTTCTTTATATTTGCATTACTTAGAATGATAAGGCCAACTTGTTTAGTGAAGGCTGTTTATTGTCTCCACCACTTTTTTGTCAATAGCACTTAAGAGTATTTGTATTGCAAGTAAAGTTTGTTTGAAATCATAAACCTGATTCTAGCTTTAAAAAGGTAAATGAACTCATACATAACAGAGTTTCACGAATATCTGTAACTAAAGAACTGTTTTTATCATTGTTACAGAAAAAAATATAATTACTTCTACCAATCCAATGATACTGCTCAGTGCTTGAACAAAGGTAAAGTTTTGCATAAGACAAGTACAACAGAAAATACAATATAAAAACATGAATTTCTACTGGCCCTAGGTATGTCCCATATTTACTTAGTTTTAAACCTACTTCAGGTACAGCCAGAAAAAGGCCTATATTTCCAGTTAAGGCTGAGGACTGAATGGACAGTACAATACAGAAATGTGCATTTGGCTCCAAAACTAATATGTCCTCCGTGTGGCATAATCTAGTACCAAACTTGCAGCACCCAATAGGGCAGGTTCTTCCAGGTCAGAGGTCATCACCTTTGTGCCCTGTACGGAATTCAGTGCCCGCTGGCTAATAATCTGCTTGACAGGGTTCTCGTAGTGTGAAGCCAGGACTCCAGACAAGATGACCAGGGATGGATTCACTGTGTGTAGGATATTGGCAATCCCCACTCCCAGTGCTGTTCCAGCTGTACTCACCACAAAGAAAGAACAGAGTTATATTAATACAGTATTGGAATAATCCTTTGAAACTCCTTTTTATTGCACCACATGATAACCTCAGAAAGACATTGACAAAGAATATAAACTGTAAGGAGTCTCAAGCTAAGCAGAAAAGTAAGAATATAGTTCTTTTCTAATGAATATATGCATAAGCACAAAATTAAATTCACACTTAAGGTCTCATTGGATTTGACAAACCCACCTGTTTTAAGAATAGCTTCTGCTTTGGAATTTCCCATCTTGGCAGCAGTAATTAGATGGATGGCACTGACAGGATCCTCATTCTTCAAAGACATCCCTTCCACAACAAGTAGGTCCTCTGTACAGGAGTCAAAGAACAGCATACTTAAACAGCATATGGTATATCTAGCTAGTAAATCAAGTGTATGTTCAAATAAAACTCTGCGAACAATCAAAAAGTGTAACAGTAATTCAAAACTGGTATAATTACATATCTTCTATTTTAGCCACCACTGCAAAAAATCTTAATACTGTGCTTCAGCACCATAACATGTACTGAACACACCAACAAATTTGAAGTGTGGGTTTTTAGTATAAAAAAATATATTTAATTGTGACTGTAATGGACTTAAAACTAACACAAAACAAGAATTAGAAAATATTTTCTTTCTTCTTCTTCAAGATAAAGCTTGTGCACGAAGCTATAAGCAGTTACAGAATTTCATTCTGCAGATACTGTAGGTAGCTGTATCTGGGATACAATTTGTTGTTTTACCTTTTGCCTCACTTCATTACACAGTGAAGAATGGCTTGTACAAAACCGCTACTGCTAAAATGCTATTATTGCAAGAATTTCCTGAATCATTTTCTCTAGATTTGTGGTTTTGGAACTCTGTAAACTACAATGTACATTTGTTTAAGCTGCTGCTCTGCTTTGACACACACTTGTCAACGTGGAAATTCAGACTTCCTGGTATGAAGCCTAATATTAAGCAGTGAGGATTCCCTTGCCTGAAAGTGATGGACGATCTGCCATGAAAGTAAAATTGTTGGGACTTTCAAGCAAACAGCAATGTAGGAAACAAAGGACATTAATATAGTCAAACTTTAATATTATCAACACTTTTATCCAAAAAGAATACCACTGCAAACCCTAAATATAGTCCTTATATTAAGTACCTTTTACCCATTCTAGGAACAAGGACAACTTTTATGAAGTTCAGTAGCATAGCATTAATATAATGAAATCATGTCTTAACTACATGCAAATCTTTTATTTGGCATTAACATTATACCCTTGTTAAGCATTATGAACACTGTGGTTGTAAAGAAAATAACAAAAATAAAATGTTAATTTAAATGTCCTCATCTTTACGCCACCTTATGCCAACAGTAACCAGAACCTTTTCATTCCTCTTCACTATCATCTCACCCTTCTTAAAGGCAGCCTTCAGAGTGGCATATGCATTCATAGCAAATGATTCCTATTTCCTATCATACATCTGAAGAAGCTAGTTTTTTAGAAAAAGAATTAGATATTTAATTCCAATTTGACAAGGATTTAAGTATCAAAAGCGTTTTGAATATGTGGCCTGTCAAATTTAAATCAAAGGATGTTAACTTAAAATGGTAAAAAAAGACCTTATTTAGAATATTGTGTCCAATTTTGGGCATCCTATTTAAAAAAATATAACTGCTCTGATGCAGTCCAAAGAAAAGCAAATCAGATGGAGTCCAACATTTAAAGAAATATCCTACACGCCAAACAAAGCAGAAACCATTTTAGTTAAATAAGGCAGAATATTTGGGCTCCTGACCGTCATGTAGTTTCTTGGCTTCTCTCTGAAGTGCCATCCCCGACGCGTACGCCTCTATGCAGCCTCGGCTACCACACATACACTCTGGCCCGTCCAGGGACACCATGATGTGGCCAAGCTCTGCTGCACAGAAGGTGCTACCATGAATGAGTTCGCTGTGCTGGATGATGCCACCGCCAATACCTAGAGAAAGGAAGTTTGTCAGTATACACAGTAACATTGCTGTACCTGAATTTCCCTAATTACATCATATGATTTGCAGAAAGATTACCGAGTGCACACAAGCAATGTAATCAGACTACACATTTTATAATCATTACAAAATAAAATACTTTTTTGAAATTTACAAATTATACAAAGAACAACAAGGGGGGAAAGCACAATGACAATAGGGGTGTGTTGAGTATTTGCTCCTTGTATTTATTAAAACAGTAGTGTGATATTCAATATAAATGCAATGATGATGAAGGGACCTGATCCATTTGTTCAAAATACTCAGAGGTAATGACAGTCAACCCAGTGACCTTCTTCAGTATGAACAGTGAAACATAAACCAGACTCAAAGTTCACTGAAATCTGAGAACAGCAGGCACTTCTTTACACAAAGAGTTGTGGGAGTATTTAGCAGGCTAATCAACTATGTCATTGAGGCCAAAACCCCAGATTCTTTTAAGAAATGGCAGGATTAATTCAAGATCCTCAATCAATTACCTAGTAATTACCAATGGACAACTATGCACTTTCAGACAAACTGAGATTAAACACTATAACAAGCTTTGCTATGTATTATTATTATTATTATTATTATTATTATGCTCAGGCCAGTCATGCGTATGTATATCTAAGGAAGTGGACAGTATGACACAAATGTTTATAAATGTATGCAAATGTGCCACAGGAAGGAAAAGGTTGAGAAACACTGCTGAGTTCCATTAGGGTACAGTGCCACCTGCAGGCAAATGTTTACTTTTTCTATTCCATGATCCCATGTGTAAACCTTCAGATTGTCAAACTAATGCTCAGGTAAAGTTATGTAGTTAAAAGACTTTTACCAATGCGTTACTATAGACCAGATTCTGAGATTTAATCAACTCATTTTACAAAATCCATACACAATGTGATTTTTTAACCGTATTTTAAACCCTATGTTTGTATGGCAGATGTATTTCTATACAAAAAAGGCTCTAATCCAACAGCAGCAAAAAAAAAAAAAAAAACACACGCTACCCATGTATTTCTACTCTCCACTTCCTTGAATCTCAGATCCTTCAAGATAAAGTATGTATATACAAAGTTCACTTCACGATTTATGTTTTTTTATACACAATGTGCAAATGTCTTGGAATGTTTTCTTATTCCTTGAGAAATCTTAAGTGAGCAACAGCCTGTCTGAAAAGGCCTGAGAACCACAAATAAGGAGATGGGAGTGGAGTATATTTCACAACTATATTAACAATGCTTTATTCACTACACTGACTATATAAAGGTTACAAACAAGAATACGCCATTTGGCCCATCTAACCTTTTTGGTAGTTAGTAGCTCATTGATCCAAAGATCCAGCCGTTTCTTGAAGGAAGCCAGGGAATCTGTTTCAACCACATGGCTGGGTAACATGTTCCATATCCCCACAGAGATTTTAATGAGAAAGGTCAAGCTTCATTACCCTCTTAAAGTATTGGGACAGCCAAGTAAAAACTGCTATTTACTGCATATCACTGCAAGCAATATGTATTTGTACTGATGAGAGTAATATAAATATGTACAATACATTTTATTTTTATTTGATCATATTAGAACAAAAAAAATGTTCTACCCAGTGGTTACAAGTATTGATTGAAAGTGAAAAACTCCACCATTAGCTGTGGCAGTCCCAGGATTCAATTAGGGATTGTGCACATAAAAACCAACAACAGGAACAGTTCAAAATGCAGGAGGAGTCTTTATTATTTCTGAGCTGACCTGAAGGTGTAATACATTTGAAGACTTTGAGAGAAGCTCCCTTCCTGCTCCTTTGCCTCCTCCAGCCCTCCTAATCCATAAGCTTTTCAAACAACTTCTTATGAACTCAACCACCACAAGTGTTGTTCAAGACCTTTTTTATAACAAACACACCACTCATTAAACCCATATGAGACTGTGGACACTAACATTTCTCCAGTAACCTAAAAATTACATAATTACCACAGAACTGGTCTTTTTACACATGTTTTCATGATCCATAGCACTAGATTTGCTGCTACTGCAGTCCAGTCATAATCCAGCCTGAAAATATTCAGTTGTACAGTATATACCTTTAAGGTAATATATGCATGAAATCTAAAAACCACTAGTGTCACCAAATTTCTTGTGTAATCATTTAGCTGCTTTGCAGTCACTTTGTCCTTGCCTATTTCTGTGGCGTTATAACATCCCAAGATGTTTTCTTCCACATGTAAAATGCTTTTTCAACTGGATTTTAAATCTGGCAACATTTTTTGGAGGGACAGCAAACTGTGTACTCTGGTATGTCCCACAGTTTTGCTGTTAAATGCATGTAATACATTTTTTCATTCACCTCCAAATATTATGTGTAAAGAATGCATCAGCAATGCAAAAAAAGCCTTTTTATCATTGCAAAAAATGTTAATTTGAGACTGCACAAAGTACCATAGTTTCAATGTAACTGCCTTAGTTATAGAGTTCCAGTTTGCTCAGATTCTTGTAATTTAGGGTTGGCAGGAATCATTTTTAATTTAAACTATATGATAACATGTGACAAAGTTACAAAAAGTATGTGTCATGCAATATCTCACTTTTAAAGTAATAAAAGCATACCTGTGCCTGTTATTATAGTTACAAAGTTCTCAACCCCTCTCCCATGGCCAAATTTCTTTTCTGCTAGGGCAGCACAGTTTCCATCATTGTCGACCCACACAGGCAAATGCAGTTTGTCAGAGATAGGAGTCCTAATGTCCACTGCACTCCACTCCTGGATCAGCTTAGTGGAGTGAAGGACCACACCTTCCTGAGGGTTTACACGACCTCCAGTCGACACACCTGTGAGGCAGCAAAGACGTTATTAATGGCATTAGACAGAGTACAGTACTGTACATTACTACAACAATATTCATAATGCTACAAAATCTTTCACACTAGGTTCCTGGAAATATTATTATGGGAAGCCTGAATAACTTAGGCAGACTGACTGTAAAATTCCTACAATATATTCTAAAAATCCATTTTCTGTAACAACTCGGAAGGAAGTATTCACTTGTCTCAGATTCTTGTACCATTGCACATTCCATACACAGATTATACAAACATTTTCTCCCTGCCTGCTAAAAAGGCCAAGATTTTTTTCTCTTATTTTGGACACTCACTTTTACATTGTTTTGGCTTACAACATTCCTTTCAAAGTATAAAATCTAATATTTGAGGTTAAAAGGAAGGAATAATCTTGATTAAATAAGTTTTGTAGTTAAAAGAAAACCATGATATTACAGCCCAGCGGGCCTGAAACAGTCAATTTAACAAATGGATTGAAGTTCCATTTAAACCATGTCACTTGCCTGATTTGCATTAGTGCCATAGATTTACCTCTTTTTAGCCAGAGTGCTGATGATTCATGGCATTCATAGAAACGTGTATACAGATAAACAACCATTAGCGCCTTCAATCTGAGATAAGAAATAACACTCGAACTCTTACCAAAACTGACAAAATGTAAAGCTTTAAGATTCAAAATTACATTTAAACTGTGCATCCTGAATTACTGTTCATATTGCAGGCTTCATACAAGACCAATTTATAACAATATGGTATAATGGTTATCCACTTTAAATGAAATTAACACAAGTTAACACTTTAATTGAAATTGAAAAACATCTGTTGTTTGAACAGTTCTTGCTCAGATGAGGAGGACACAGTTTCAATATCAACTCTTCATTTATGTTTTTTTTTTTGTCTGTTCCTGGCGAAGCCATTCCACAATCCATTTAAATCATTCTCTAGATTAGAGGTCGCTTTTGCAAACCTGCTGATCAGTGATGTATCAGGGATGGTTGGTGGGACAAATATCTTGACTCAGCAGAGAACAGCACATGAGGACATTGGCTACACCTGCTGCAGCCGCCTAATTTAAATTTTGATTTATGTGGGAGGAAGGCTTTGTCTCTGAACAGGTGGATTTCTATATCACATGGACCCCTCAGAAGAAGAGTGGCACTAATCATAGTTCCCATGTTTCTATGGGTTGCAGTGAGGTGTATTTTTCAGAAGTAACATTAACAAATGTCATTACTCATGACTGCTCACTTTTACATGACACATAGTCAAATGTGTTAACATCTTTTTGTGATAATTTTTTTGGGGGGGTTAAGACAATATAATAATACACAATACAATCATTACAAAAAGTCAGATTTCCTCCCATGCTGCCTTCGCCTAACCCATTATCCCCGCCCAACCATCTCCCTCCCTTGCCACAGAGCACCTCAAGATACCCCATCAGATACCAATATTGAAGAGCATGGCAAATAATATTTTGATGGCCTTCATCGCTGGATCTATGCAATGGAATGCTCCATAAGCACATTGAGAAAGGAGAGGTCCTACTGATAGAAGGGAAGGGAAAGTGGAGGTAGGCAACATTAAGTGACCATCCTCTTAGAAGCAGTAATGAAAGCCAGAAATGTAAGCATCTGTTGCACAGACTGCCATGAATTATCATCCAATAACAAAAATAGTGGTATAAAAGAAAAGAATACTTCTCCTCAAAACAAGACAGAATTGAAAAGAATCCTTTACCGTTTCCCAAGAGCAAACACCACATTTGGGGGTGTCAGTAAGACTCAATGGACGGCTAAACACTAAAACATCTTAGCACATGCAAGCATGAGTCTATAATTGTTCTATGATTTGATTCCTTTGCAGCTTCTGATA